GCAAGCTTATAAGTTTGAAATAATTTATATGTTTAACCGTTTGAGTCCCAAGCAGCGCGATCGCGCTGTTCACATTTTATGTTGAAAAAACCCAGTACATTTCGAGCATTGTAGACAACTGACGGTGCGCTCATATATATAAAACAAATGCATACAAGTAGCGCTATCGCGCTGCTTGGGTCTTCTCTTACTCATTTAGAAAAAGCGCGATCGCGCTGTTTGGGATTCTTCGACAGTGTCAGTTTTCAATACCGTCTGGGACTCAAACGGTTAAGTCTGAACGATTGGAAAATATCTGTCTAGCCTGATTATGCTTTATTTTCTCGAAGATTTTGAAATCAGTGAATTCGCATCCTAAGCGACGGTTCGCGTTAAGGTAATTCATTGTTCCTCTCTTATTTTTTCAAAATTCCAAGAGCCATCACTTCCGTTTCAGGAAACTCCGGTTTGAACGGGGGCTATGTTCGGAAGTTTCCATAGAAATACAAAGAAAATCGTCAGAAAAGGAAAATCTCTTCTGGGAAAAATATGCCAAAGGGAAGAGTAAAGGATTGGAGGTGGAAGAGAGAGAGAAAGAGAGAGAGAGAGAGAGAAAGAGTCAAAAGAACCTAGCGAGAGAAGGAGAGAAGAAAACGAGAAATAGAGAAACAGAGAAAGGAAGTAGTAGGACGAGAAAAGAACGGAGAAACAAAATTTGAATAATTCAATCGCGCTAGAGACGGACGTACGTTAAATAAAGTAACGTGGTAAAATGCTGGAATAAAGTCGACGATGCTCTCGGACGATTCTAGATTCGTAGTGAGAAGTAGAAGAAGAGAGGAAGTGTTGGCAACGGAGATGGGGTGGGGGTGAAGTTGGTAACGTTGCTATCGCTCCGCGCGATCCAATTTTCTCGTTGTTGCTTCGCAGGCCTTTTTCCACGTATTTTCACCCTCCTCGCAGGGTCGAACAAACCGCTAAAAAATATTGCACGAACGTCGGTGGTATAGTCTCGTCGAATGAAACAAGCTAAAAAGAAAGAGAGAGAGAGAAAGAAGGTTATGAAAAAGTTCCCAAATGCGAGATACTTCGATGAAGTACAGAAAAGAGTGAAAGAGAGAGAGAAAGACAGAGAGAGAGAGAGAGAGAGAAAGAGAGAGAGAGATAAAGAGAGAGATCTAGACTGGAAGCTCTAAAAATGTGTAAGAAAGAGTCTTTTTACGATCGGAAAAGTATTTATCGCGTGCACGAGGAAAGAATGAAAAAGAAAGATTAGTGAACTGTATTACGTATCTTTGGTAACTCGATATAACTTCATTCTGTCGATATTTTCTATTTATAATATTTCTATTTATTTTTATTCATACTTTTTAATAAACATTATTCATTAAAATAAATTATCATAATGTGTTATCATAAATGTGAATATTTTCTTCATAACTACATAGTAGATTCTAATATTTTATTATTAATATTGACAGTTTTTATATTAATCGATGTAATACCGACTTATATTGCACAATATTTTATTATAAATTCTTAATCTAATAATTAACAACATTTTCAATTTATTATACTACCTATCGAAACATAGAAACGGAAATTAGATAAATTTATTAGTCAATTTAAAATTATATGAAAGAGATAGAGAGGTCAAAGGTAAGAGTTCCCTTGAAAAGAGAAAAGGTGCATTTAAAAAAGGATATGCAATAGAGAGAACGAAGTAGATAGGAAAGAATCCTTACGAAAAGTCAGAGAAACACCCCTCGCAATGCAATCTTCTGCCCGTACCTTTGGGAAAGAAGTATGCTCGTCAACAAGGAGTCAAGCTGATGAGAAAAATACACCGCAAGGGGCCACGACAAACGAGATCCGCCCCGAAGCTTCCTTTAGCTGTCGCAAGGCAACTCTGAACGTGCATGCATAAGTAAATTCGGAACAAAAAGAAGTAGCGAAGTAAAGGTTTCTCTGACGGACCTCGTTCTTTTTCTTTCGTTTTTTTTCCTTTTTTTTTTTACTTTTCCACGCTACAATGATAGACTGACGAATATAAAATATGAAGAGAGAAAATGAATCGATATTTCCCCGTCCGTGCAATTCACAACATACACACAATTACGTTGATATACACGTACACTCGTTTACTGTCAGACTTTTAGGTTTAATAAACCATCTCTTCTTCCTTCATCCGAAATCTTTTTCATCTATCTGCTAGTTTTACGACGTAAATTGAAAATCTCTACACGATACCACACGAATGAATATCATTAAAATAAACTTATTCTCTTTCTCTCTCTCTCTCTCTCTCTCTCTCTCTCTCTCTGTTACACGAAATATTTTATCCAAATTGTAATATTGAATTTTAAAGCGAACCAAAATATATTTCTCACTTTCGGGTCCACCTACCTACTAGAATAACATATCGTTAAAGTTGAAAGGAAAATTTCGGGCCGATTACGTGGAATGCAAGAGAGGCGAACGTGCGGAACTCCTGTTGCAGTTCGTGCATGCAAAACGAGGAGAAACAAATTTCTCCGAGCTATTTGCCAGAGTAAGTCGAGAAAACGTGTGACTGTAAAAGAGTGAGAAAGAGAGAAAGAGAGAGAGAAGTTGTATATTAAAGCGAGCTAAATTAATCCCGCGGTGTGACCTAAACGTGGAGAAAACTACAAGATGATTATTACTCGAGAGGCCGAAGCAATGTTACAGAAAAGGCTACAGCAAGAAGAAAAAACACTCTCACCCTCTTTCACCTCCTCCTCCTTCTCCTCCTCTCCAAAAAATAAGAGAGAACTTTACATTTGTTATCAAATTGAATGTGTACTTTTCCCATAACAAGTACACAATTACTAAAACAGCGAACACATTTTTTTGCTGATTAATGTTCTCATTTTCATGCTTACCACTTTCCAAAAGGGTTTCTTTTCGAGATCGTAAATGCAACCGACGTTAAATATAAGCTTATATAACATTTTTTTTATCTTACCACTTGTTTGAACAAATTTTTCTTTGATTACTAGTGTCAACTTGCTTATGTAATACTAACAATTATTTTCGAAAAATGTAAACTTACTTTGCTTATAACTACGTGGTAATATGAATAATTTATTTTATAATTTGAAAAAGTATCATCGAGAATTGGTTAAGCTTTTGCAACAGGCAATGTCAATTAAATAAGAAGTGCAAAATGAAAGTTATAGTTGTACGATATAGTAAACATTATTCACATAGCGTAGATGTGTGCATAGTGCTCCTGTACTTCTACCCTATGAATACACTAATATTCAATATTATTATGTCGTAGGCAATGACTCTCATTTGTACAATTGGTAAAATTTGATTTTAATTAAAAATATTTTCTATATTCATATTAAAAACAACAACAAATACGTTTGGTAACACCCGAGGCCAAAAGTCAACTATTGACTACGTCGTAACGAACAGATGCATACCACCTTTCAAAATTTTAGATGTCAGAGTGCTTAACTCAGTTGATTTGGGAAGCGATCATGGTTTTTTCCTTCGCAAATTTAGATTAAAGTATAGCTTCAAAAGAAAACAACAACACCCAGTCAGAGCAAGAGAAAAAATTAGAGTAGAAGCTGTCTGGGATCCAACAATCCGAGATCTGTACAGGAAACGATTAGAGGAAAAAATTGAACCGCATCCAACCACCAACTTGGACGATCTCAACACAATTTGAAGCAAACTAAAGACAAACATCAGAACTGCAGCTATAGAAGCTGCAGGAACAACAAAATACAAAAGCCAAGGTTTTACAAAAAATAAAACACCATGGTTCGGCGAAGAAGTTAAAAAACAGTGCAGAAAGAAGAAAGAAGCATACATAGAGTATCTAACAACCCGAACTGCTGAGTCATATAACGCATATAAACAAATTCGGAATGAAACCGATCCTATAGTGAGACAACTAAAAGATAGGTACTGGGAGATCTTTTCAAAGCGACTAGAAAGAGACTTTTACGGACTCCAGAAACAGATGTGGCGATTCATAAGAAGCCAAAAGAAAGAAACAAGCGAGTTAATACCGAGTTAATACCGGTTAATACCGAAGCGAGTCAAATTATTAAGGAAACGTGGACCAGTTACCTAAAGGACCTATATAAAGGTGCATCCATGTTACAACCAGCACCGAGTGTGGTAATAGACGACCAGATATCAATAAATGAGTCGGACATTAGAAAAGCACTACATAAGCTCAAAAATAGGAAAAGTCCGGGTCAGGATGATAACACTAACGAACTTCTCAAGTATGGCGGCGAAAGATTGCTTTAGGAGTTAACGGTCTTAACGCAAAAAATTTTTGAACAACAAAAAATTCCCGATGAGTGGCGGACAAGCACAACGATCCTTCTTTTTAAGAAAGGCGACAAGAAGGTGCCTGCGAATTACAGGGGAATAAATCTACTGTCCTCCACCCTGAAATTAGTGACCAAAATCATAACGAACCTGATAAACGAGCGAATTACACTAGCTGATGAGCAACAAGGTTTCCGAACTGGACGATCATGCACTGATGCAGCGTTTGTGATCAGACAAATAACTGAAAAATCCATAGAATATAATAAACCAGCATTTTTCTGTTTTATAGATCTAGAAAAGGCGTTCGACCAGATACGGTTAGAGGATATAGTGTACCTTCTGTATGACAGACAAATACCAAGTAACATCATTAAAACTATAGAAGACATCTATCGGAATAATCGAATACAGGCAAAGATAAACAACAAACTCACAGAACCCATAATGGTGGAAAGAGGTATTCGACAGGGTGACTCACTGAGCCCCCTACTTTTTAACATTATAATGGATGAAATCATAAAGAAGGTGCGCGAACAAAGAGGATATCGAATGGGAAACCGTGAGATAAAAATCTCGTGTTACGCCGATGATGCAGTCCTGATAGAGGAAGATGAAGATGACCTGCAAAGGCTCCTGTATACGTTCAACACAGTTGCTAGACACTCGGGATGTCTATATCAACATCCAAAACTAAGTGCATGACTAAAACACCTCTAAGATGTAAATTGGTTGTCGATGACAAAATAATACAACAAGTGATGGAATTCAACTACTTAGGTATAATAATTTCGAACTTCAGTGACATAGAGTCAGAAGTAAGAGGACAAGCCATCAAGGTAGCAAGAACAGCCTCACTATTAAACGACACCATATTCCGAAATAAACACCTAAGAATAGATGCAAAAGCACGTATATACAAAACCGCTATAAGGCCTATACTAACATATGCGGCAGAAACAAAATCTGAAACATCTAAAACACGCCAAATCATGGAAGCAACTGAAATGAAAATAGTTCGTAGAATAGCTGGGAAATCACTATGGTACAGAGTAAGAAGCGAAGACCTCAGGAAAGCATGCCAGATCGAGAATATCAACGACTGGGTATTAAGTAGAAAAGTTGAGTGGAATGACCACATCACTCGCATGACTGATGACCGAGTGGTCAAAATATCCCGAGATAAGTCACCATCGGGGAGACGAAGCGTTGGAAGACCTCGAAGCGCTGGAGCGACAGTCTGACTATATGAAACGCGTCGCGATGAAGAACAGGCATTGTGCTTACTTGGAAGAGAGAAGAAGAAAAAGATATTTAAAAAAGAAAACAAAAAAAAAATAAAGAATGTAAAAAAATTGTAAAAATTTATTTCCTACTCTCCCGTCGATATTCTATTTCCCTTCAAACAATCCCTTCCCTCAATCCCCACCTCATGCCGATCTTTAATTCAACGCACGCGGTGGCGCCTAATTCACAAAGAAATACCGCATGGCTCTTCATTAAGCAAACAAAGCTCTTTCCAGCTGCGTGTTGCATAAGAGCCACACGAAAGCCGAACGCACACGAATACGCTAATTCGAAGCGAATTCTATGCTTGTAGTTTGCATAGGAGAACAAAAAAAAACTAGGAAAAAACAGAAGAAGAAAAGGGTCTTTGTGTAAGTGAGCGAGTGAGTGAGGGAGTGAGTAGTGTGCATATGTGAGATCGTGCCATTATTTGTACGGACGAACGACATGCGCTCGAGTTTGAAGCCAGTCAGCGTTAATTACCGTGGAATCGGTCGGAACGGTTCCGAAAGAGAATGATTCATGGTCGGTGAAAAGGACTTTGAAAGGGAAGGAGAGAGAGAGAGAGAGAGAGAGAGAGAGAGAGAGAGCGGCCGTCATTCGTGTAAATGAGCTCAGTCCACGTTCGCGTTGCTCTTTACACTAAATTTTTTTTTCTCTTTTCAACTTCTTGACAAAGTTATGTGGCAGTATGTATGTGCGATGAATCCAATGTATCGCAAGCAAGCTTCGATTACGCCAACAGGAATGATACCCATCAAGTTTGCAGGTGGAATCGTGTAGTCCACTTTTATATGAACCAAACGTGACACTGTTTTTGTTTCAATCAAATTACTGTAAACTCAATTCACGCGTATCGCGATATAAGCTATTATCGCGTATAGCGATATATAGCTATTTTACCATTAGGCCAACAATATACGATACGTTGATTTCATTCCAATTGGTATCAATGTTCGTTGTATTACGAAAAAAATATCGAAGATAATAAAAAAATAAAATAAAGTAAAATAGAATAAAAAAAAATAAAATAAAATAAAATAAAATAAAATAAAATAAAATATGACAGACCCGATGAATCACGAGAATGAATCAAATAAATTTGTATCCAGAATGTTTTTCCCTTTTTTTCCTGCGTTCGTTTTCTGTTTTTTGCCGTTTCGTCGAAAAAGTATTTTTGACGATTTTATTTTCAGACGACGTGCCCGATTCGAGATTGAATTTGAAAAATCGATTGTTCACGCTATTTCTTCGTAATGTTTGTCACATATCAACGTTTATTACCGTTCACGATTAAGTTACACGGGACAAATTTCTGGATTATAAATGGCCTTTTGAGTTATTCCACACCGTTATGAAATCGTAATCGAGACGCGATGAAAATTAACCACGTCATTACCGTGCGTTTCACCTGATTGCTATGTCAAACAATACCAATCGCGACTCTTATCGTTATCATCGCCATTACCATTATTAACTGTGCGCACCTAAACTTATCAACGCGCTCTACCCACCAATATTATTATCCACGGGGAAATATTATCGACTACCATCAGGCAAAATTCCCACGGCTGAGAAGCGTTAAAGGTTATTTGCCTCCTACACACACAGATACACACATACAAACACACATACACAACATACATACATACTTATATTTATATCGATTGCAATTAACAAATTCGTTAAGAGAATAAAGGAAACTTATTGGAGCAGATGAGTAAAGTGAAAAATGAAATAAAAGGAGAGAAAGAGAGAGAGAGAAAGAGAAAGAGAAAGAGAGAGAGAGAAAGAAAGAGAGAGAGAGATGAAACGGGTACATAGAAGATAGGTGTATCGTTTGGTGTTGTAAAGTGCTGGTGGCTACGCGAGAACGTCCTGAATAAATAACTACTGGGAGTTTTATCTCGCCGGTTATATTCGGCCTTTACATTCTTCAGTTCACATTAGAATGCTGTTCTTGCGGATGACAGTACAGCAACAATACGACCTGTATACAGTGTACGTCGCCATGCAAAATACCTGCCAGTAACAAAATCGTCCTGGTACAGAACCAAAAACAAAGTACAAAGGAATAGAATGGGACAATACTTACTATTTGTTTCATTTGTACGTTCTCATTGATTGTAGGATGATGACAAAAATTTCTTGTTCGTCACGTGGAAGGAATAAAAGTATTTTCGCTGGTCTAACTTGAATCTAATTAAAAATACCATTTTCGAAATAATCTCGTGGAATGAATTTGTACGTGGAAATAAATGACAATCGTGGCCAACGTCCGGAAGTCCCTAACGACATATTCGTTCGGTCGAGACACGGAATGTGGTCGAGGTAGAGGACAGAACTCCCTTCTATTGCGTATTTCCATTCGAAATTTCCGTAACGCGTGACGGCAGTTCTACGTCCCTTGGCAGTCTAGCAACATCTCTTTCTCTTTTTAGTTTGGCCCTCTCTTTTGGTGGTAGGTGAGTGAGAATGAATGGCACCGTAGTGGGTATGGCAGTTAATGGTCAACCTATGGTTACGGCGTTTCTAGTTGGCCCTAACAGGTGGCAGTACAATTAAACCACGTTACGGTTATGTCAGAAGGGGTTGGGAAAATAGGGGATGCAAGAGATCGGTGGAGAGGGTAAAGTTGACGTTATGTTCGGTTCACCGGTATGTTTGCGTTCGTTACTGCGTTACGAGCTACTCTCGCGTGCACCTATGCATGTATATATTGTATCTACATACTCTAACAACTACTGCTCTACCTATGCACATTCGCCTTCCTAAAATTAACCTTTCGTTCTAGAACACTAGAGGGAAAGGATTGCAAGAATAATTACGTTCAACATGGTAAAATGAAAAAGGAGTAGGAAATGGTTCAATGTTTTTAAACCAAAGCAGATTATTTTTTCAATTTTTCGAAATGATTAACGTTTAATAAATGTACTCATTCGTTACTTTATAACTAATATTTATCAATTAGATATTTTAATAATATTTTTAATCATTATTTGAAGTAAATAGTCAGAATTGATAACAAACAAACAATGATTTAGTACCGACGCATATATTCAACGAAATATCATTTATACAAATCAAATAATATTTAATAAATGAAGAGAGAAAATGATTATCTTTTCTACGAAAATATTATATTTTAGTATATCTCGTGAAATGATGTTTAGTAAGGATTGTCGAATGTAATTCGTCGACTCGATCGATCAACAACAATACCCGACGAATCGTGTAATTCATTCTAATTAGCGCAAGATGTTAGACCGAAAATAGTGTAGTATGGTGGACGTATGAATCATGTTTAACGAGAAACAGTCTGCGTGCAACTAGACGAAATTAATCATCCGCATGAGATAGAGAGAATAATCTAGGAACAGAGAAATGAACGGAGAGATGAACGGACGACACAAAGGCTTTGGAAGGCGAAATCGCATCTCTGCACATCCATTTTGATTGTCTCGCTCTTTCGAAGGATCGGTGGTCGGTACTCGAACTGTCCTGGAACTCTTGCCAAACTGTCAATCTCTCTTCAGGAAACTGAATTACCGTGCATGCTCAGCGGTCAAACGGTGCCAACGCGAAACTCTACTAAAAGTCCATCTCGCATTACTGACGAAGCATAAAAGGTAGTAACTTGGCAGACAGTTTTTGAAACTCGTAAAACTGCAACTGTCTTCCCGTGTGATGCAAGGAAAATTTTCTACCCGGGTTTTTCACATACACCTATATCTACGCATAAATGTGCATATATGCGTAAACAAATGAGAGAAACTTCGATAAAAATAAAACGACGTATTTGTTTTCTCTTCTTCTACTTTTTGTAATATTCATCTACTCATCGAAAATTGAAAGGCAACGGAATAGGAAATTTAGTAAGAACATTTGAATCGTTGGAGCAATCGAACAGACAAGTTTGCAACGTCGAAAGCAATGCCCTGACTTCGTTGGTATTTGTAGATAGGTAGGAAGGTAGGTTGATAGTTACGTAGAAACAGTCTGTGTTAGTTACGTCTTTCAGAAATACACACGCTGTTTCAGAATTATCCAATAACCTCTAGAAACGGGTTTAAAGTGTTCCCTTTCCCTCTCTCTCTCTCCATCTCTCTTGGCAGACTACGAGTTACTCGTAACTTGAACTCACCGTCAAACGTTTAAATGCCGAATTAGTCTCCATTGAAAGGACCCATCTTGCATTCCGCTCACTCGCGCTTCTATCAAGATCCTTCGATTTCCATTGAAGTAAGGAAAGTAGAAAGGAAGGAAGGAAGGAAGGAAGATCCGAACTATCTACTACGTCAGCGACCTTCGTAAACTTATTCGAAAGTGCTCTAGGCAATGAGTCCACGAGGTGGAAACTCTCATTGTTAGATTTAAAGAGAAAGAGAAAAAGAAAGAAAGAGAAATAGAACGACGAGAAACTGATTATATCAAGTAGAGACATTACGGTTATATGTATACTTCGAAAGAGAACTTTAGGTATATGTCCGCTATATTCTTTCGAGTTAAAGGACAATGAAACAGAGAAAATGGAGCCGATTGAAACATGTTCGTCTTTCCTTTCCCTTGGCGACGTCGCTTTTTTCCGTCCTATCGCTCACTACCTTTCGCGAGATCTTCCAATTAAATTGCAAATTAAATCGCATATTTTATTCGACCGCTTTTCCACGACTGAAATTCCACGTCTCGGTGGAGGGAAAAGAAAAAGAACAAAAAAGAAGGAAAAAAGGGGAAAAACAGGAAGAAATAAAAAAAGATAAAAGTCACTTGCCGATTGCTGTTGCTACGCTAAAAGAATTAAATTTGCCCTTTCAACAACCAAGCATTACCCTCGTTCCTTATTTTTTGTACTTTTCTTTTTCGATCGTTTCGATGGATTCCCCACCCCTCGCAATTTTCAACCCAACCCATAATTTCTCATCTTTCCATGTAGTTACGCTTTTGATAAATCTCTTCT